GGTGAGCCGAGATCGCGCCATTGCACTCCAGCCTGGGTAACAAGAGCGAAACTCTGTCTCAAAAAATAAAAATAAAAATAAAAATAAATAAATAAATAAAATCAGTATTTTGATTTATTTGGCATTTCAAGGAATTATTTTTTATTGGGATTTGTTGCTAGACAATTGTTGTGTTTCTTTGTTGGTGTTACATTTACCTGCTTTTTTATGTTTTCTGTGTCCTTCCATTGATACCTCCACGTTTGTTGCAGGAGTCACTTGTTCCAATTTTTTTTTTTTATTACTTTTGTAGGAGAGGTTATTTTTCTGAAGTTATATATATGTTGCTGGTTAAGTAGCATACTTTGATTTTGGGTGCCTCTGGTAGTATGATTTTTTTTTTTTGGCAGGGGGTTGTTTTTGGTTTTGGGTGTTTTATTTGTTTTTTGAGACAGAGTCTCACTCTGTTGCCCAGGCTGGAGTGGTGACACAATCTCGGCTCACTGCAACCTCTGCCTACTGAATTCAAGCGATTCTCCTGCCTCAGCCTCCCAAGTAGCTGGGACTACAGGCGCCTGCCACCACACCCAGCTAATTTTTTGTATTTTTAATAGAGTTGGGGTTTCACCATGTTGGCCAGACTGGTCACAAACTCCTGACCTCAGGTGATCCACCCGCCTCGGCTTCCCAAAGCGCTGGGATTACAGGCATGAGCCACCGTGCCCAGCTGGTAATATGGTTTTTGTATAACTTTTTTGGCAGTACACAGGGTCAGGGGTATTCACAGTTTTCTCTGTGGCTTAGAATACAGTTTGGATTGTGGTGAGGTTTTGCCAACGACTTGGATGCCAACTGAGCCAGTCTTTGGACCCTGATGGTGGCATTGGTGGGTTGAGTGTTCCTGTTTTTTAGGCCCCAGAGCAGTTTACATTGACTCTGGTGTTAGTGGGTCCTTGAAGGCTGATTCTTGGGTCTCTGGCTGGGTGTATTGGCAAGTTCTCAAGCCCCTGAGCAGCTGGCATAATGTGGGGGATGGCAGGATAGAGCGGTAGAGCAACCCGCTTGGACCCCAGCAGTCTGTGTTGTTGTTGTTGTTGGTAGCTGTGATGGATTGGAGGGGGCTAGTCCCTAGTTTTATAGCCACCTGTAGCAGGGCAGTGGGTATTTTCCTAAGTGTGCTCAGAGAAGCATAGTTTCTGCTGTCCCTCTCCCAGCTGGGTGGCAGTTGCAGCCGTGTGGCCTCAAGCTTAGCACAAGGGCAATGCCTAGCCCAGCTTTAAACTCTCAAAATGGTGCCAGCTGTTGGCCTGTGATTGAGAGGGTAGTTAGGTTCCCTCTCATATGAACAGCATGGGCAAGACTGTGGAGAGTTATGGTACACTCAAGTCTCAGTCTCACAAGCAGCCTGTTGTCTTAGGTGTGCGTAGAGGAGCCTGGTTTCTCTGTCGCTCTTCAGCCAAGTGGCAGCTGCAGCCAGATCAGTCCGAACTTGCCCAAGGACAAGGTGCAACGTAGCATTAAACTCTCAAAATAGCACTTTATGCCTGGGACCAGAGAGGGCAGGGTCTCTCTTAGACAAGCAGCATGGGGAAGAAGCTGTGGGGAATGCGGTCCACTCACATCTTCGTCTCAACAGCAGCCCATGGCAGGGTGATAGGGACCCTCCCAGGAGTGGATGAGAGTGCCTAGTCTCCCCTCTCCTTCCTCGGAGCAGTGGAGCGACTGCAGCTGTGTCTGCAGATTCCTGGTATCAAGGCTCTCAAAATGGCACCCAGCTGAAGCTACTTAAGACTCAGATACCTGTGGGGATTCTCTGTGGATTCCCTTTTTAGAACATCTGTCCAATCTTTATGCAGTTCTGTATGTCAGACCTAAGGCCCTAGTTAGTCCAGGGCTTTTTAACCAAGATTGTAAAACCCATTTCAGAGTGTGGAATGCTGGGGGTTTCTGTCTTACTGTATCCCCATGTCCAGCTTCCTAAAACCCTTTCCTTTCTTCTGATGCTTCCCATCACTTCTCTGGTGAATCCTAGCATTCTTTCCTAGACAATCTGTTCAAAATTTGGGTGTCTTCTGACTGTTCTGGTTCCTCTCTGTGGATGAGGCATATACTGCCTGTGTCTAGTCAGCCATTTTAAATATAAGTCAAGTCATATATTCTCTAAACTTTTCAGTGGCTCCCTTCAAAATGAATACCAGAGTCCTTACCATAGCCCACACACCACCAAGCAAAGAGAACTTACTCTTCCTTCTGCTTGGAATCCTCTTCACATAGAACTCCTTCATTTTCTTTAAGTCCTTACCCAAATGTCACTTATTAGGGAGATCGTCCCCTGAACACCTAACATAATTAATAACTACCACTTTCCAAACACTTACACCTTATCATATTCACTCATGTAAATACGATGATGCTTATTCTTCCTTTCTCCCTTTTTTACTCCACAACACTTAACGTAATCTAATATTATATATATTTATTTGCTTAATAAGCCTCTCCCTAGAATGTATATCATATGCCAACAAAGTTTTTCTGGTTTACTGCTGTATCTATGTTTAGTACTTAGAACAGTGCCTGGTACATAGGAGGTATTCAATAAATATTTTAGCAAATGAATTGTAGAGAAATATATTGACTCTAACAAATATCACACTGTGCAAACATCAAACGCTTGCCAGTTTCCTGCCCACACCACGTTTCAGGCTCCTGTGCCTTTACGTTTGGAACACCTTCATACACGCTTTCTTACCTATGTGTGGTACACTTTTCTTTACAGTGGTACAGTCTTCTGTTGCTTGTACCACAATAGAGTGAATCTCTCTTCAACTTTTATAGCAAGCCTACTCTGTTAACTCATTCACTCCCTGTGGTAACCCATTAATCCATTCATGAAGGCAGACCCACCTCATGACTCAGTCACCTCTTAAAGGCTTAGAGGTTCCACCTCTTAGTATTAGTAACATTGGGTATTAAGTTTCAATGTAAGTTTCAGTGTAAATGTATGAATTTCAAAGGGGACAAACATTCAAACCATAGCAGTGTCTCTCTGCATTTAAAATGACTACATTCTTTTCACCCATTCACTCATTCAGCAAACTATGGGCACATACTCTGACCTAGGCATTAGGACACAATGGTGAACAATACATGGGCGTTGCACCCTGTTGGATCCTGATTGGATATCACTTGATCTCTTTAGTACATCAGCATCTGGCATTTAGTAACAGAATTTTACATGATTTTTAAAGAGCTCTATTATTAAAAATAATAATGCTGCTAAAGACCGATTCTTGATCTTTATATGAAACCTTTTCCTTCAGTGGAAGTCTGTAGGATAATTTCATAGTGATATGCCTCACTCAGTCTGTTTTCACCTCTTATACTAAAGATTTGTTGTGCACTTTCAATATTGTAACTCTGATTCATTGGTTTTGAATCTTAATTTTTTTTTAGGTGACAAAGTTGTCATAGTTAAAAAGAATGATCTCTCAGAAAGCCATATTTACGAATGAAATAAAATGTCTAGTATGTACTTCAAAATAATCTGGTGTGGGTGGCAGGGTTGGTATACAGTTGAAAATAGACTGCCAATGAGTGGTAATTGCTAGGTGACACTAGTATAATATAATGACATGGGAGTTTATTATTCTTTCTACTTTTGTATATATTTGAAATTTTCCATGATAAAAAATAAATGAATAATGAGGGAAAAAAGAAGCTTAGTATGAGTCATACACAGGAAAGAAAATTCAGATATTCAAATGTGACAGGAAAGTGTGGAAGACAATTCTCTAATCCTATTGAAATTTAAAAACAGGGAACAGTATTTGTGAAAAGAGGAAATTACTCAGAGAAAGCTTCAGGTAGAAAACCAGCATAGACCAGGGCTCCAAAGGATACTAGATGAAATTTGACCACAAGAACAAAGAGTGTACTCTAGGTAGAACATCACCAGTAAAGGCACAGAAAAATGATTGTTAAAGACAAGTATAGTTAATTGCTAGGTTAAAGAGTTTGGATTGCTTGATGTGGTAGCTCATGCCAGTAATCCCAGCACTTTGGGAGGCCAAGGCAGGTAGATCACTTGAGCCCAGGAGTTCGAGTCCAGCATGGGCAACATAGCGAGATACCATCTCCATCTCTACTAACACTTTTTTTTTTTTTTTTTTAAATAGAGACAGAGTCTCGTTCTGTCACCCAGACTGGAGTGCAGTTGGCATGATCTCGGCTCACTGCAACTTCCACCTCCTGGGTTCAAGCAATTCTCCTGCCTCAGCCTCCCGAGTAGCTGAGACTACAGGTGCATGCCACCATACCCGGCTAATTTATTTTGTATTTTAGTAGAGACTGGGTTTCACCATGTTGCCCAGGCTGGTCTCGCACTCCTGAGCTCAGGCAGTCCACCCGCCTTGGCCTCCCAAAGTGCTAGGATTATAGGTGTGAGCCACCGCGCCCAGCCCAACACTATTTTCAAAAAGAAAAAAGCTGTTGTTGTTTCCTAAACCTGTGTATCTTTATTAAGTTTAGGCTCATTTGTTTGCAAGAATAATTTCGAGTAGCTGTGTGTAAGGCAAGGAGCTAATAGCCTAAAAATGCTATTCAAGAAATAAAGTGAGAACTTTGATTTGGGAAAAACTTCAGAGAATTTATTTTCATCTCCATTATTAAGCAGTCTTGACTTGTTACTTTTTAGAATGAAGTTTAAAATACTGTTTCCTTCATTTTCTCAGCACAAACATTTCACTGAAGATATTCAAACAAGGCAGTATCGTTCCTTGGAAGTTCTAATAGGATCTGGCTATAATACCCCTGCTGACATTTGGAGCACGGCATGCATGGTAACGTTTTTTCTCCTTGGCTTTCACTTGTTAAGTGGTACATATGTTACCCTGTTTGCTAATTTCAGTAAACCAGCAAGTTAACTAGCAGAAAAGAATGTAACACAGGTAATTTATCATAGGTATTCTAAATTCTATGTCTAGAGAGGTACAAATTCAAAAACCTTTCTGGCATTTATTTGGTTACTGCCAAGTTCCTGTTAGGTGAAGGAACCAAATGTTTTTTACTACAGATTGTTGAGGGGAAAATAATTAAAACAACTACTAAGAGGTGTTGTTGGTTTTGATTAGGAGATTACAAGTGTCTTTGCATTTTTAGCACTCATCTATTTTTCAGACCAAAGAAACCCCTGAAAACTGCTTCATTTTGTACAGTTCAGCATCTCCTCAGACATTTTTGCAGCTCAAGATGTGAAGCCCGATCATTCATAGATTCATAAATTGCTGTTTTATCCCTGGCAAGCAGCTATTCCAGTGGTCAGATTTGATAATAAATAATTTCCTACTAATTGCCTCACGTAGGAATGTGTACATTGTTTCTTAAAATGTATTATACTCCTTAAGATCTTTAATCATCACAATTTCTAATCATGTGTGTTTACTTGTTTCTCTTCTACCATCTTGTAAGCCCCATGCTGTCAGGAATCACGTCTGTTAGGTATAACTGTGTGGATTCATTGCCTGACACATTTTGAGTGGATGCTTACAATGTAATTTCGATGCTAACTACCCAGAGTTATTGCAGACTTCATAGGTTAAAAGCATGGTTCCCCACAAGACTGCCCTCACTTTAGACACTAACCACAAGCCTTAGGGTCCACAAGCCACCTGTACTTATAATCAACTGGCTACAAATTGAAGGGTTTGCATTACCCCCTCAGCAAGTGCTAAGCTTGCTGTAGTTTTATTATCAACAACACAAATCAAGACACATAGTCTGAGAGTACTAAATGTGAAGCTTCTGTGTCCTCAGGACTTTTCACCCTCCTGGCACATTGATGTGTGTCACTAACAAGGGACACTCACCCAAGCTTCAGGTGTCCAAAGTTTTATTGAGATTTCATTAATTAGGTATTTATTGAATCATTGGCCATGTGATTGAGCTCAGTCTTCAAGCGTCCCCTCTGTTCCCTGGAGGTTGGGGAATTGGAAAGCCCCAATCCTCTGATCATGTGGTTGGTCTTTCCCGTATGTCCAGCCATCATCTTAAAACTATATAGGGGCTGGCCTCGATGGCTCACACCTGTAATCCCAGCACTTTGGGAGGCTGAGGCAGGTGGATCACTTGAGGTCAGGAGTTCGAGACCAGCCTAAACAACATGATGAAATCCTGTCTCTACTAAAAATACAAAATTAGCCAGACATGGTGGTACATGCCTATAATCCCAGCTACTTGGAAAGATGAGGCAGGAGAATCACTTGAACCTGGGAGGCAGAGGTTGCAGTGAACCAAGATTGTGCCATTGCACTCCAGCCTGAGCAACAAGAATGAAACTCCATCTCAAAAGAAAAAAAAAAAAAAAAACAACTATATAGAGCCCCAACGTGAGTCACTTTGTTAATATAAACTTAGATATGGTCCAAGAGACCCACCCTGAATAAAGACACCTAGCACTTGGAAAATCCAAGGTTTAGAGACTTCCCCCCAGGAAACAAGGACATAGACCAATTTCTTTATTGTTCAGTAGTGTTTAATAAATATATATAGACTCCCTAATGAATGAACAGAAACATATTGTGCTCATTTTAATTAACATTTTAATATTCACAGGCAACTCTGGGAAAAACTTAAAAAAGAGGATGGATAACAATTCCAACCTGTTTTAAGTCATAGATTTCTTGCTATCTACATTCCTGAAAAGCTTTGTCTTCAAAGTTAATAGAGATAATACCCTTATAAAGCACTTTGTTGTGGCATATCATTGGTCTTTAAAGCGGGTGGACTGTCTGAAGTAAGGTTTTAATATTGTTGCACAAAAAGAATATTGAAATAAAATCTCAGGCTTCTTTCTTGTCATGCTTTAAAGTTTTGTATTTTGAGGAATTTGATTTGAGTTGATTTGCTATAGAAAATCATAAATGATAGAGATGCCACCAGCTATAAAGTATAGCTAGTTAATAGATTTGCTAACGTCATTTTTAGTAGTGGATTAGTTGTTTATTGTAAAAAAAAAAAAAAATGAGGACCCTGGTTTCTTTTTCTTATTCCACATTCCTATTTTGTTTGGGGGCAGTAGATCCTGCTTGGTGTTTAATATAGTATTTCTAATGTCAGGCTTAAGAGGTAAGGCTGAAAGATAAAGGGGTAATTAATCTTGCCTTATAGTTCTGGACCCACTCACATGTCAGAATCTTGACCAAGGAATGGAAGAATATTGAGCAATTTGTTCCTCAAATGTTATTTTGCCAGTCAACATAGAAAACCAAATGTTGATTTAATTTGATCACAGAGCAAAAATTCTGGAATATCAGAAGTGCCTGAAGAGGTAGATTATCCTGCAAGCAATGTAATTAATTGATGGAAAGATTAGGACCCTCTCTGAGAGGTAATGAGATGAACAAATTGAGATTGCCTACCACACTGATGATTGAGGAATAGTTAAAAGAGCAGTTATAAAGAGGGAAATGGGGCGTAGGCATGGTAGCTTATATCTGTAATTCCAGCACTTTGGGAGGCTGAGGCAGGCAGATCACTGGAGGCCAGGAGTTTGAGACCAGCCTGGCCAACATGGAGAAACCCTGTCTCTACTAAAAATTCAAAAAATTTAGCTGGCCGTGGTGGCACATGCCTGTAATCTCCGCTACTTGGGAGGCTGAGGCACAGGAATCACTTGAACCTGAACCTGGGAGGCAGAGGCTGCAGTGAGCTGAGATTGCACCATTGCACTCCAGTCTGGACAACAGAACAAGACTCCATCTCAAAAAAAGTGGGGGGGGGGGGGGGGAAATGTTCTTCATATCTGTGAAGAACATTAGGAATTAACAGTCTCCAAACATTGGAATCAGGGCAAGTAGGACCATAACTGACAGGATGAGATTGTCTTCTTCTCTGGCCTTTGAATGTCCTTCTAAAGTACAGAAGCTTTTTTGTTTGGTGTTATCCCATTTGTCTATATTTGCTTTTGCTCCCTGGGCTTTTGGGGTCAAATCCAAAAAAATCATTGCTCAGACCAGTGTCATGTCGGCTTCCCCCTGTGTTTTCTTCTAGTAGTTTTCCAGTTTCAGGCCTTATGTTAAATCTTTCATCCATTTTGATTTTTGTATATGGAGTGAGATGAAGGTCCATTTTCATTTTTTTTATATCCAGTTTTTCCAACACCATTTATTGAAGAGACTGTCCTTTTCCCATTCTGTATTCTTGGCATTTTTGTCAAAGATCAATGGATCATACATGTGTGCGTTCATTTCTGGGCTCTCCCTATTGTTCCTTTGGTCTATGCATCTACTTTTTTGGCCAGGACCATGCTGTCTTAATTACTATAGCTTTATAGTATACTTTGAAATCAGGTGGTGTGATGCCTCCAGCTTTATTCTTGTTTTGAGACAGGGTCTCTCATTCTGTCATTCAGTCTGGAGTGCAGTGGCACAATCATGGCTCTTTGTAGCCTCCACCTCCTGGGCTCGAGAGATCCTCCCACCTCAGCCTCCCAAGTAGTGGGACTACAGATGTGCCCCACTACGCCCAGCTACTTTTTATATTTTTTATAGAAATGGGATCTCCGTATGTTGCCCAGGCTGGTCTTGAGCTCCTGGGCTCCAGTGATCCGCCCGCCTCAGCCTCCCAAAGTGCTGGGATTACAGGCATGAGCCATCATACCCAGCCTAGCTGTGTTCTTTGTGCTCATGATTGCCTTGGCTATTTGTGATATAATAAATTTAGATGTGATTCCATATGAATTTTAGGATTTTTTTTTTCTTTTATGTGAAAAATAATACTGGAATTGTGATAGGGATTGCATTGAATCTGATAGATCACTTTGAGTAGTATAAGACATTTTAACAATAGTAATGCTGGGCACAGTGTCTCACACCTGTAGTCCCAGCACTTTGGGAGGCCAAGGCAGATGGATTACATGAGACTAGCCTAGGCAACATGGCAAAATCCCATGTCTACAAAAAAATTTTAAAATTAGCCAAGCTTGGTGGTACATGCCTGTAGTCCCAGCTACTTGGGAGGCTGAGGTGGGAGAATCACCTGAGGCTGGGAGGCAGAGATTACAATAAGCCAAGATTGCACCACTACAGTACAGCCTGGCTCACAGAGCAAGACCTTGTCTCAAAAAATAAAAATAAATCTTCCAGTCGGGCGCGGTGGCTCAAGCCTGTAATCCCAGCACGTTGGGAGGCCGAGGCAACTGGATCACGAGGTCAAGAGATCGAGACCATCCTAGTCAACATGGTGAAACCCCGTCTCTACTAAAAATACAAAACATTAGCTGGGCATGGTGGTGCGTGCCTGTAATCCCAGCTACTCAGGAGGCTGAGGCAGGAGAATTGCCTGAGCCCAGGAGGCGGAGGTTGCGGTGAGCCGAGACCACGCCATTGCACTCCAGCCTGGGTAACAAGAGCGAAACTGTCTCAAAAAAAAAAAAAAACTTCCAACCAATGAACATAGGATGTATTTTCATTTTTGTCTTCAATTTCTTTTATCAGCATTTTATAGTTTTCAATGTACAGTTCTTTACCTCATGGTTAAATATGTTTCTAAGTATTATTTTTGTAGTTATTGTAAATGGGATTGTTCTCTTGATTTATTTTTCAGATAGTTGTTTACAGAAATGCTACTAATTTTTGTGTGTTGATTTTGTATCATGCAACTTTACTGTGTTTGTTTATAGTTCTAATGGGGTTTTGGTGGAGTCTTTAGGGTTTTCTATATATAAGATCATGTCAGGCCAGGCTTGATGGCTTATGCCTATAATCCCAGCACTTTGGAAAGCTGAGGCAGGAGGATCACTGGTGCTCAGGAGTTCGATACCAGCCTGGACAACATAGTAAGACCCCATTTCTGACAAAAGAAATGAAAAAATTAGCCAGGTGTGGTGGCACACACCTGTAGTTTCAGCTACTTCGGAGGATGAGGCAGGAGGATCACTTGAGCCCAGGAGTTGAGGTGACTGCAAGCTTTGATTGTGCCACTGCACTCCATCCTGGATGACTGAGCAAGACTCTGTCTTGCCAAAAAAAATTAAAAAAAAAAGTTATGTCATCAGCTAACTGACATTTGTACTTCCTCCTTTTCTGTTTGGCTGCCTTTTAAATGCTCTGGTAAGGATGGTACACTGGTTTTATTTTGGATTGTTTCTTAATAAACTATCTTTTTTAGCGGTTTTAGGTTCACAGCAAAATTGTACAAAAAGTACAAAGAAGTTTTATCTGCTCCCCACACACAGAGCCTCCCTGGACACTGCTGATCTGCTCCAGAGTGATACGTTTGTTGCAAACAGTGAACCTACATTGACCCATCACTATTACTCAAAGTCCATAGTTTTATATTTTGCTTTATTATGAGTTCTGGCAAATGTATCCTTCACTATTATATACAGTATAGTTTCACTGCTCTAAAACTCCTCTGTGCCCTGCCTATTAATCCCTTCCTTCCCCCACACCCTGGCAACCACTGATATTTTTATTGTCTCCATAATGTCAAGTAGCTGGAATCATACAGTATGTAGCCTTTTTAGATTGGCTTCTTTCACTTAGTAATATGCATTTAAGGTTCCTCCATGTCTTTGTGGCTTAATGGCTCATTTCTTTTCTTTTTTTTTTTTTTAAATAAAGACGGGGTTTCACCGTGTTGGTCAGGCTGGTCTTGAACTCCCCTCAGGTGATCCGCCCGTCTTGGCCTCCAAAGTACTTGTATTACAGGGGTGAGCCACCACGCCCGGCTATAACTCATTTCTTTTTGGCACTGAAGAATATTTCAGTGGCCTCCCGAAAAGCTGGGACCACAGGCATGCAGCACTGCCATACCTGGCTCTTTATTTTTTAACTTTAATTTCAGTATCTTTACTGAACTCTATACTATATATGAGACCATGAGATTAAAAAAAAAAAAAAATACTGGTGTCAGGAATGATTAACAAGTTTTGGTGAATAAGAATCACATCTGTTTCTGTGTTGTTGGGACTATAAACCTTTGGATAACTAAGGGTAGAACAAGTATCTGCTCTGTCATTGTGGTTCAGTTTCATAATAAACGAATGAAATGTAAAACAAGCTATGCCTAGCAAGGAGCCATAGCACTGCTGACATTGAGAGATAGTACTTGATTCCTAACCTATCCTGAAACTTTTGGTTTTGTGGTCTCCCTCTGGGTGGCAGTACCGTTTTGAGAAAGGCTGTTCTGTCATGAAATTGCAGAAACTGACACTGGTGAGCCACCAAGACTTAAACTTGGGTCTAAATTGAGAATATGTGCAACAAGATCATCTTGATGCCAAGAGCTAAGAAGAAAAAAAAAAGAACATGCCCCAACTAAGTCCTGGACTCTACAGTTCTTAAGGTTGTTTGGGCTACTTAGTACCATTGATGAATCAAAATCGACCTGTGACTAGCACTTACTTTGTAACTGTGCTTCCCTATCAATATGGTCATTTTTAAAAACTGTTGTATTGATTTTTGAGACTCTACTTGTAATCAGTGAGAATTTATGTACCTCTCCCCCCCATTACCCTGACATTATCTTTTCATGCTGCATGGCACTTATTCCCAAGGATATCATTTCCTAAGACACTCTCAAACACTGTAAGAGGTTCTATTACAGGAGACTGGCTTTTCTTTTCATGATTGGAGAATGCCAGTCACCTAGGCTAGAGTGGCTCTTGACTCCCTTTACACTTAATCTGCTGATGTTCTGAAGACCTAGGAATCGGGAACTCTCCATCTGGGACAGTTTAGGGAGTACTTCCCATGCAAAGGATGTACTTGTCAAACACTCAAGAGTCATAAGTAGACGTCTGAATTTTTTTGTTTGGTACAGAATCTCAGTTTCTAGCCATGTGTGATTATAATGTAAGAACTGTTCTTCTCATAAATAATAACTTGGAATTACCTTAATATCCAGGTGTGCTCCTTTCTGGCCAAAAAAGAGAAACTCAAGAGGGCTGAATTGCTCGGGTTTAGGGTGGGGAGGTTTTGGCATGAAATAACCACATAGGATTTCTAATATTCCTAATGAATACCATTTGGAAAATGCTATGCTATCTAATTTTCATAAGTGCCTATTTAAGTATTTACTGAGTCTTTGCCGTTTTCTCCATTTTATTAAGATAGGGGCATAGAAGGAATGCTGTAAGAATTAGGCATTTTTAAAAAATGATCTGTAAATTTTTTCAGGGAAACAAAAGTTAATTCATATTGAGTCAAATAGCAATAAGCTTTCCAAGGGCCTTCTTTTCTTTTGTGCTTTCATATGCTATCCTCTTTTTCTTAGGCCTTTGAACTGGCCACAGGTGACTATTTGTTTGAACCTCACTCAGGGGAAGAGTACACTCGAGATGAAGGTGAGTCTCCGTAACCATGGATGTGTGTGTGGTATTTACACTTTCCACATTTGACTAACATAATTTATTAGTACTGAAGAGTCTTAGTCTTGTTAGTGTGCAAAACGTATATAAATCCCAGAAAAGTTAGAAATAATAAAATACATTTTATATTAGGTTTTTAGATATTTTCTGAAATATACTAAAGAGCTCTGTCAGAGTCAGAAGGCCACAGCTAACCTAAAACTTCTGTGTGCTGGACAATTTTTTCTTCAACATCTAGTTATCTTCCTTTCTGTATATGTATCAGTGGTTCATTCTTTACCAAGTTTGAGTTTGCCTGCTCATCAACCTGTTGCTCAATTATGCCTCTAAATTTATTTATAGGTCAGACTATATCCTATTTCTATAAATTCTGCCAACATTTAGCAGAATTTATAATATGGATGTCTCTAGCCTGTTATTCCCCCATTCTCTTTTCTGGGTATAAAACTGTTTTTGTTTGTTTGAATTCCGTTTTAAAACAAAAGTAGAATGGATTTACATTTTGTAGCCAGTAGGAAAAGCCCAAGCTGCCAGTTACTGTCTAAGAGACTGTGGAAGCAGACAACTGTATGTGTCTGATTTTTCTATCATGGTGACATCCAGATAACTAAATGGGTTAATAACCAAGAAAATGTTTTACACAGTTGAGATAGCTTATGTTTTATTTGTAGGATTAATGAGGATTATTTTGAGATCACTACAGCATCTACTCTCCCAGTGTACAGAACGTGTTCCTTTTTGTACTTTCCTTGAGCCTTTGGGAACTCAGATTTCATGCTCTATGGAACCGAGTGCTCTTTGTTTCTCAGAATGTGGTCTTCTGGGATTTTAATAGGTAATGTTAGTAGGGCTTGCTAATATCCCTAATGAATACCATTTGGAAAATGCTATGCTGTCTAATTCTCATGAGTGCCTATTTAGGTACAGTTTGGACATGCTTTGTGTATATAAGCCCCATGTTAGAGGATACTACAATTACTACTTGATTGTACCTATTCTCTGCTTGCTATTTTTCTGGGTTATAGGTTTGGGGTTATAGGCTTATAGTAGTTAGGATTATAGGCCTATTATGTATGACCAGGCACAGTGGCTCACGCCTGTAATCCCAACACTTTGGGAGGCTGAGGCGGGCATATCACGAGGTCAGGAGTTCAAAACCAGCCTGGCCAATGTGGTGAAACCCCGTCTCTACTAAAGATACAAAAAATTAGCCAGGCATGGTGGCACGCACCTGTAATCCCAGCTACTCTGGAGTCTGAGGCAGGAGAATAAGTGAGCCAAGATAGTGCCATTGCACTCCAGCCTGGACGACAGGGCAAGACTCCATGTCAAAAATAAAATAAAGAAACTACCTACTATATTTGTTTGGGAGGGTAATTTTGTTTCCTCTTTATTTCCCAAGGTACTCCATGTTAGTGTATCGTACAGAACACATAGTGGCTAGAATTATATTTAGTAGTACCTTATGCTACTAAACCTGAAAATTTTAATGTATATGCAGAGTCCCAAATAAGGGGACAAGGAAAAACCATCTTTGCTAGATAATTTAGATTCTAATTTATTGCATCCTATACCAGTTAATACTATTAGGTCAAACATCAGCACCTCCCCGCCATGCTGTTCTACTGCAGTTTGGCCTATAAGAGCAGGAACAAGCAGACGCTTACCCTGTGACTAGTGTATGCATAGTTTGTTACACTTGTTACACTCCAGCCTGGGCAGCAAGAGTGAAACTCCATCTCAGGAAAAAAAAAGAACTTTAAGAAGTTCTCTTATAGTTTATAAGAGAAACTATAGTCTAAGTTTTTTGTTGGTATTCTGATTTTGGTTGTTGTTAATGGTAAAAACACATGCAGGTACTTGTTACCAAACCATAAATTCAGTCAAAACCACTCAAAGGTTGTAGGGTTGAAGTCCTCTTTAAATGGCAGCACTAACTCCTTTACATGAGAAAGAGATAACCTGAAACCTTCACAAATTCCCAGATAATAGGGATGTCTCCAGCATGTTATTTCCCCTATAAGATACATAACTGGAAGTTTAACCCTTCATGATTCTATAACTTACAGGATGAAAGTATTTAATAAAGCTTGTTTTCTGGCCAGGAACCATCATTTTTTAAAAAAACTTTTATGTTCTGCCTGGGTGTGATGGTTATGCCTATAATCCTAGCACTTTGGGAGGCTGAGGTGGGTGGATCGCTTGAGCTCAGGAGTTTGAGACCAGCCTGGGCAACATGGCAAAACCCCATCTCCACAAAAATTACAGGCCAGGCACGGTAGCTGATGCCAGTAATCCCAGCATTTTGGGAGGCTGAGGCAGGCAGATCTCTGGCCAACATGGTAAAATCCTGTCTTTACTGAAAATACAAAAATTAGCTGGGCATGTTGATGTGCGCCTGTAATCCCAGCTACTCGGGAGGCTGAGACACAAGAATCACTGGAACCCAGGAGGCGGAGGTTGCATTGAGCCAAGATCATGCCACTGCACTCCAGCCTGAGTTGAGAGTGACACTCTGTCTCAAAAANTGCAGAGTTAAAAAAAAAAAAAAAAAAAAGCAGTAGATCTACCTGAGATGTGTGTACTGGTTGGTCCCAGACTCACACTCACCTCCTGGCTAAGAGATTGCACATCTCCCTGGTGGTGCTCATGGTCCACATTCATACTGTGATGGTTATAAGTCACTATATTACTTGGATATTTTAGTGGCCCACAGATCATCAAGTAGCTATACTTTAAAATGTTTGTGCTAATTTTTATTTTTAAGAAGTGAGTTTAGAAAAGAAAGTTTTAGACAAGACATAAGATAATTGGTTTTCATTTGAGTTGCAGCTCATATTAGCCCTGAAGTTTCAAGTTAGGCCACTCATGCTTTTTGAAGTTCCATTTTCTCATCTTTAAAATAGGGTATCAGCCAGGTGGTGGCTTAGGCCTGTAATCCCAACACTTTGGCAGGTCAAGGCAGGAGGTTTGCTTGAGCCTAGGAGTTTGAGACCAGCTTGGCAGTATGCCAAGACCTCATCTCTTTAAAAAAAAGAAAAAAAATTTTTTTTTTTTTTGCTCTTGTTGCCCAGGCTGGAGTGCAGTGGCGTGATCTTGGCTCACCGCAATTTCTGCCTTCCAGGTTCAAGCGATTCTCGTGCCTCAACCTCCCAGGTAGCTGGGATTACAGGCATGCGCTACCATGCCCAGCTAATTTTTGTTTTTTTTTTTTTTTTTTTTTTTTTAAGTAGAGACGGGTTTCTCCATGTTGGTCAAGCTGGTCTTGAACTCCCGACCTCAGGTTATCCACCTGCCTCGGCCTCCCAGAGTGCTGGGATTACAGGAATGAGCCACTGTGCCTGGCCTACAAAAAAATGTTTGAGTCCGCCGGCTGTGGTGGCATATGCCTGAAGTCCCAGCCACTGGGGAGGCTGAGACAGAATGATCACAAATAATAGTTCTAGAATGCCTAACACATATTAGGACAGTTATTTTAATCTAACCTAAAGAACCTACCTGAACCTAGATAGAGAGACAAAATAGAAGTAAAGATGAAGATAAGCCTCCAAAATCCAGAAGGGGACTTGCCAAGTACTATCGGGTGACCAACCACCTGAAATAATTCTTGGCCTTCCCAGTCAGTCTTCCCTTCAGTATCCTTGGTGTTATTTGTAGATACTTTTAAACAGCTAGTCCTTGAAAAAGCTATTCATAGAAAAACTTCTTTTACAGCTTGTCCTTGATCTGTTCTTCTTACCCTTCTATTTTAGAGCACATTGTGCACATTATAGAGCTGATAGGCAGAATTCCAAGATGCTTTGCCCTCAGTGGGAAATATTCACAGGACTTCTTCAATCGCAGAGGTATTACATGAATTTTAATCGAGGACCCAGGGAGACTTCAGGAAGCAGAGCATTCACACCAAGATTTTTTTTTAGTTATCACTGAATCCACAAAAATTTGACTTTGTGGATTCTCCATTAGATGGATAGAATCCTCCTCTTCCCATTTAGGATAGAAAGCAAGCCTGAAATGCTTTACAGAGAGGTGTGCATGCTACTCTTTCTGCTATTTTCTAGAGCTGCATTTGTTACTCTTGTTACGTATCTTTTTTTTCTCCTCTTGAAATGTTTGAAATATACAGATCACATTGCATTGATCATAGAACTTCTGGGGAAGGTGCCTCGCAAGCTCATTGTGGCAGGAAAATATTCCAAGGAATTTTTCACCAAAAAAGGTAAAATAAATGTGTTCCCAGACATTAAGGGGACAGAAATATTTTAAAATGAAGAGGTAAGCACATGTTCCCAATGTCCTACAGAATGATGGGCCTGCCTTGAATGCTAACCTGTGACTTAGCACAGAGGTAAAAAAGTGGTCAAGAGGAGAGGCTGGGACCGGGCACGGTGGCTCACGCCTGTAATCCCAACACTTTGGGAGTCCAAGGCAGGAGGATCCTTGAGTCCAGGAGTTTAAGACCAGTAACATAGGAAAAACCCCTCTTTACAAAAAAAAATTTGTTTTTAATTAGCTGGACATAGCGACACACACCTGTGGTCCCAGTTACTCCGAAGGCTTGGGTGGGAGGATCACCTGAGCTTGGGAGGCCCAGGCTGCAGTGAGCCATGACTGTGCTACTGTACTCCAGCATGGGCATCAGAACAAGACCCTGTCTTAGGAAAAAAAATGAGCAGAGACTGGAACCAGACTCTCAAACCCTGGCTACTCCACTAGCCATGTGACCTTTGACAGGATCTAACTGTGCCTTAGTTTGCTGATTTCTTAATAAGGATAATAATGTATACTTCTTACTAAATGATTTAATATGTATAGTGCCTGCACAAAGGTGGTTGATTACTTCTATAGCACTTCTGAAAAATGGGCACATTTTTTGCTGGCATTTGGTCTAAGAACTGCCTCTACCAAAGGGCAGGTAATTTAAACTTCTTACATAATAAGGGCAGGAACTACATCCCACTCATCCCAGTGACACCTAACACAGTCACTCAAAGTACATTAGTCACGCAAATGAACTTTACACTTCAGTTTTATGTATTTGTTATTAAAAAGAAACAAAAAACAAAACTTCCCATATTTGGCTTGATATATTTGAGATGGAGTCTCGCTCTGTAGCCCAGGCTCCAGTGCAGTGGCACAATCTCGGCTCACGGCAACCTCCATCTCCCGGGTTCTAGCAGTTCTCCTGACTCAGCCTTCCAAGTAGCTGGGACTACAGGCGCACGTCACCATGCCCCAGCTAATTTTTTGTATTTTTAGTAGAGATGAGGTTTCACCATGTTAGCCCAGATGATCTCCGTCTCCTGACCCCATGATCTGCCCACGTCAGCCTCCCAAAGTGCTGGGATTACAGGCGTGAGCCACCACGCCCAGCCAATAATATATTTCTTATGCATTGCAAAAAAAAAACCCTGAAATGTGAAAACCTGATCTAGAAGCAAACAGCCTGGTTTTTTTTTTTTTTTTAATCCCCATTGTGCCATGGTTCCCTTTTTCCTCACAACTTCTACAGAAGTGCTAAAAAAAAATGACTTTTCTCAATCCTTGACAGGAGCCATCCTCAGAAACTACCCTTTCTTTCTTTTCTTTTCTTTTTTTTTTTTAAATGTAGTCTTGCTTTGTTGCCTAGGCTGGAGTGCAGAGGCACCATCTTGGCTCACTGCAACCTCTGCCTACCCAATTCAAGCAATTCTCCTGCCTCGGCCTCACAAGTAGTTGGGCTTACAGGCATGTGCCACCACGCCCAGCTAATTTTTATATTTTTAGTAGAGGTGGAGTTTCGCCATGTCGGCAGGCTGGTCTCGAACTCCTGACCTAAAGTGATCCACCTGCCTCAGCCCCCCAAAGTGCTCAGATTAACAGGTGTGAGACACCATGCCTGGCCACATTACTCTTTCTTAAACCTCTTTTTAGGTGGGAAAATTGCAAAATGTTTCATAAGAGTTCCTCCTTGTATGTAGTCAGATTAAGGCATGTGTGTAACGGGTAGGTAATCAAATAGGCCCTCACTGCTCACAGAAGAGACTTAAAATTTTTATTTTTAAAAAAATTATTTTTTTGAGGCAGGTGTCACTCTGTCACCTAGGCTGGAGTGCAGTGGCGTGATCTTGGCTCACTGCGACTTCCACCTCCCAGGTTCAAATGATCCTTCTGCCTCAGCCTCCCAAGTAGCTGGGACCACAGGCACGTGCCACCACACACAGCTAATTTTTTTGTATTTTTGGTAGAGACAGGCTTTCACTATGTAGCCCAGGCTGTTCTTGAACTCCTGAGCTCAAGTGATCCACCCACCTCAGCCTCTCAGTGTGCTGGAATTACAGGCGTGAGCCAATGTGCCTGGGCATCTTAAAAGTTTAAAAGCAGCATTTACCTTAGCCATTCATAATTGACTGTCTTGTAAAAATTTGTCACTTCAGAGAAACAATGAGGTTGATATTCCAGTATAGTGTAGAGTAGTGGTCCCCAATCTTTTTGGCACCAGGGAGTGGTTTTGTGGAAGACAATTTTTCCATGGACAGTGTCGGATGGGGGGTGGGGCATGGTTTTGGGATAAAGTTGTGTCACCTCAGATTGTCACGCATTAGGTTCGTTTACGAAGCATGCAACGTAGATCCCTCACATGTGCAGGTCACAGTAGGAGTCACGCTCCTACGAGAATCTAACATAGCCACTGATCTGACAGGAGGCAGAACTCATGCGCTAATATTCGCTTGCCCACCACTCACCTCTGCTGTGCGGACCTGGCGGACTGCAGACTGGTATTGCAGGGGGTATGGGTGTAGAGTTGGGGACCCCTGGTATAGAGTATATGAAGCTGTTGTATCTGAAAGCTGTATAGGATTTGGGTTTTCTGTTTTGTTGCTTTTATCCATGCTTGACATGGTATTTTATTTTTAAATTACTGTCTCACCATGAAGCAACATTTACTGAAGTATTGAGCACATAACACACAAAAAAGTATAAGCAAATTATTCTCAATGTATGGTGCTAGAGTGCCTCTGCACACCGTATGAGACCATGTTGAAGATATAGACATTTCATGTTTATTTTAGTAAATACCTAGTTCCTGATTGTCATACCTAGTTTGACTGGGACTAAAAAAATTCTAGAATAGGGGAGAAAACAAATTACCTTAAATTTTTAGAGCCTTATGAAAAGTAAAGGCACTTCTTTCTGAGGCATATGTCAGAAAAGAAATACTTTGTGAAGCTCGGATTATATTCTGACTGCAAATTTTGATTCTTCATAGACTACATGGATTAGTGCCTGGATTTCCACAAGAGGATCTTGTCATTTGTCTGTGTTGGTCAGTGGCTTTTTTATACTGTCTTCACTGCAGGTGACCTGAAACACATCACGAAGCTGAAACCTTGGGGCCTTTTTGAGGTTCTAGTGGAGAAGTATGAGTGGTCTCAGGAAGAGGCAGCTGGCTTCACGGATTTCTTACTGCCCATGTTGGAGCTGATCCCTGAGAAGAGAGCCACTGCCGCCGAGTGTCTCCGGCACCCTTGGCTTAACTCCTAAGCCCCTGCCCAGCACCACAGCAGAGATCACATGCTGACCCTCTGCCCTTCCCCTCCAAGCATTTTCCTCTTCCCTTTTCAGGGTGAAGCTCTTCCTTCAAGAGTTTCTAGATTTTTTTTTTAATCCAACATGTTCATTTGGGTTTGCTTACTTGACCCTGTGGAGATCCCCACAGCCATTGGGCATCCTAGGTGAATTTGGCCTTGGTTGGGCTCTGCCAAAGACTAATGGACTAAAATGTGAAACAGCCTCTTGCCCTGTACCTTTCCTTCCCATTAGGACACCCTTTAAGTTATAATCATCCTTTTTGAAAAGAGCTATGAAGTTGTATGAGCCCATCCTTTTATTCACTGACTCTAAGAGTCAAATTTTCTAGTGCATATCCTATTGCCAGCATAAGGATGAGGAGGGAAAAGGGTGTTGATCGTGTGTACAGCAGAGACATTAAACTTGCTGTATCCAGGCTGCATCATCTTCCTGGACTGTTTCTGTTCCCTATGTTCACATTTTTTCCTGCAACTTTTAAACTGTCTTTTTTAATTAGCTGTATGAACACCAAATTTGGGTACCATTTTATCACTGTTCAAAGCACTGTCAAATTCCTTTCATCCTTTAATAGTTAAGATCTTTGAATCTTCAGTCTGATTTTTAATGTAAACAAAAACTGAACCATTGAATAGTAATTTCTGGAGAACCTCAGGTGTTCTATAAGCAGTCCTTTCCGATATGTCTTCTATTACCCTAAGACCAGAGTTATTTTGATTGACTGTTTTATTTTTTGTTTTTGTATCCGTGGCTGGCACTTTACTCTTTTCACTTGAGTTTATTGCCCCATAACTAAAGGATCAGGATGACTGTAGAATGGAGATCTAGGTTTCAGGGCTTTCCCATTTAAGAAAAATAGATCTTGAGATTCTGATTCTTTTCCAAACAGTCCCCTGCTCTCATGTACAGCCTTTTCTTTACCTTGCCCAAAATTCTGGCAAGGTTTTCCTCTGTGGCTTTGCCTTTCTCATTTTCTCAGAGGCTCAGGGTCTTTAACCCCAAACGAAAGAACCAAGGGAAGGGTGGGATGGCACTATTTTCTGTTGGTTTGGTTTTTTGGTTGGTTGATTTTTTAAGATTAGCCATTCTCTGCTGCTATTTCCCTGTGTAATGTCAGTTTTTAACCATAATTTTGACATGATTGAGATGTACTTGAGGCTTTTTTGTTTTAAATGAGGAAAGACTTTGCAATTTTTTTTTTTAGGATGAGCCTCTCCTAGACTTGACCTAGATATTACATATTCCTCCAGTAATATTGAAGAGAAAAAGAGGGGCAGGACTGGGGTCACAGCCACTTCTTGAGCATGGACCAAGTGGGCCTTGGAGATTACAGCATTCTTTTTTTTTTTTTTTTCTTTTTTTTTAATATATAAAGACGGGGTTTCACCATGTTGATCAGGCAGGTCTTGAACTCCCGCCCTCAGGTGATCCGCCCGCCTTCGCCTCCAAAGTGCTTGGATTACAGGCGTGAGCCGCTACACCCGGCCAACTGCAGCATTCTTGAAGCGGCTATAGGACTGGAATTCACAGAAAGCCACAGAGGTGCAACTTGGCTCTACTACTAACAAGCTACCAGTGAGACTGTTGGGTAACCACCTTTCCATACAGGAGATTGGAATCTGCTTTGTCATTTATCCACCAACAGTGACAAAGGAAAAGTGGTGCCGTTATGCAATCCATTTAACTCATAAACATATCACTCTGAGTAACTGGCCAGCCATTCATCGGATCCTTCATTGGGTACTCCTAAAATCAGACATGTTCCTGTAGAAAGAATTTTAAGTTGGGCTTTCTATGCACCTTTCAAGAATCAAGAGAATAGATTGTATCAAACAACGGCAGGGAAATCCTTCAGCAATTCTAATCCACTTTGGGTTTTCAGCTGTTTTTACATCTAAAGCAATAGACTAGAACTGAATTCTCTTCTACATTGTAAAATCACAATTGTGGAATTACAGGAATTCTGGTGATGATATTAAGGTGAAATAAAAACCACACAACAGGCCCTATAACAGTTGATGTGACAGTAAATTTTAATAAAGAGAGAGAACCTATAACTTCATTTTGGAAATGCTCCTCCACCAAATAAGGGCTTTTCCCCCTATTTAAGGAGCCAGACAGATCTGAAAGATGTGGAAATAGGCAGCTGTAGAACTTGATCTTCCAAGTACCCCATGTACCGTTATTGAGCTTAATTATAACACTGTCAGATTGCCATGATCTCACTAAAGGATTTCTATTTGCTGTCAGTTAAAAATAAAGCCCTGAATACATTTTTATTCTTTCTACTGAGTGCATTGTCTGTTTTCTTTGTAAATGCAGTACAATAAATTATTTAATAACCTACATGTTTCCAAAAGATCTTTTGTTCATTTGTTGCCCAAGTTGGTCTGTGCTTAGCAGTTGTCCTTGCCATTTTGTGGGGTTCATAGTTTTGCTTCTAGCTTTAAATTGGGAGTGGGATAGAATTAACAGAGCCAAATTAACATTTGTGGAATACTGTTTTTCAGACTTTTTATTTTTATTTTTATTGAAAATTGTTTCTGCCTACATCCAATAGCACTTTTTTTCAGAAGATTTTGTTGGGGGTTGTTGTTTTTCTCAAATTATAAATGCACAGTATATGCAAAATTCAGAAGACTTAGAGATAAAAGCTCTTACTAAGGCAGTGGCATGATGTATTACACAGGCTTATTTCTTCATTTCTTGGATAGATTGTTGAACTGGGCCAGAGAGCACATTTTTGAGGCTTTTAGTAAATATTGCCTAACTTATCTGGACAGCTAGCAGAATGATCGGACTATTTTTCTGTATATACAGTGTATGAACAGGCCTCTTCCATTATGAATTGCTAGTTTGTGCCCTGTCCGCCCCCCACACAGGAATATTGTTATAATTTGCTTATTGGATTACTAGTGAGGTCATAAACTTGTTTTCATAAGTATTTGCATTTTTTTTGATTATTTGTAAATTGTCTGGCTTTTTGTTGGAGTGCTTCCTTATTTGATGACTTGGTCAGGACTTATATACTAGAGATAATTTATTACTTTTTGCTTTATACACTTGTCTAGTTTTTAAATTGCTTTTCATTTTTGTGGTAGTTTTTAGTGTTAATTCTATTCATCGTCCTTCCCCACCTACACCTCAACTACGTAAATTGTTCTAGTTAATTTGTTTTAATTGTGCAATACTTAGAATACATTTAGTGTTTTCATAATGTTAAAGTGTAACTTACTGGGATTCATTAAGCCAGTATGTTCACCAGACTGATCAACCTAGGCAGGCCTCCACCTGGTGTTAAATGTATGAACCTAGAATTCCCAGAGTAAGGGAAGCCTTAGTACTGTTACAGGATAGCTTGTAGCTATCTCAAAAGAGCCAACAAGCAGGTGGGTTTACAGCCCCCTTTAATGTTGAGTTGGTTGGGCTCTGCGTGTCCAAGGGAAACTATTTAGCTCCTTCAGAGCAGTCCCGCCTTATAAGTGGACTTCGTTACTGCCCATTCTTTTCACCTGAAATTGTAGCCTTTCTATTTAGCTTTATAAGGAAACCATTTGCCCTTAGATTTATTGTATCACAGAAAATTGGTGATTTGCTGATAATAGAATCTGAACTTGCATTTGCTTTAAAATAAGGCCTCATGGCTGGGTGCAGTGGCTCACACCTGTAATCTCGACACTTCGGGAGGCCAACACAGGACAAACACTTGAACCTAGGGCTTCAAGATCAGCCTGGGCAACATAATGTCTCTATAAAGATTTAAAAATTAGCCTGGTTGTGTTGGCTGACACCTGTGGTCCCAACTACTCAGGCTGAGGCAGGAGGACTGCTTGAGCCCAGCATTTCAAGGCTGCAGTGACCTATGATCATGGCACTGCATTCCAGCCTGGGCAACAGCAGCATGAGACTATCTCTACAAATTTTTTTTTTTTTTTTTTTTTTAAATAAGACCTTAAGGCACCAAAGAAGCTTGAATAGTGCCTTGGGAGTTAGCAAAGCATTGATAGCATAAAGCTCTAAAAAATCTTCAGACTATTAATATAGAAAGGTGACTATAGGCTGGGCGCAGTGGCTCATCCCTGTAATCCCAGCACTTTGGGAGGCTGAGGTGGGCGAATCACCTGAGGTCAAGAGTTTGAGACCAATCTGACCAACATGCCAAAACCCCGTCTCTACTAAAAATACAAAAATTAGCCTGGCATGGTGGTGGATGCCAGTAATCCCAACTACTCGGGAGGCTGAGGCAGGAGAATTGCTTGAACCTGGGAGGGGGAGGTTGCAGTGAGCCGAGATTGCACCGTTTCACTCCAGCCTGGACAACAGAGTGAGACTCCATCACAAAAAAAGGTGACTATAAACCAGAGACCAACTGAAAAGGAAGTTTGTTTTTACGTTACTAAAGACATTAAAGTTGGAGGATTGGGCAGGTAGACTCCAATAAAATAAAAGTTGTGGAGTTTTGGCTGGGTGCAGTGGCTCACACCTGTAATCCCAGCACTTTGGGAGGCTGAGGTGAGTGGATCACCTGAGGTCAGGAGTTCGAGACCAGCCTGACAACATGGTGAAACCCCATCTCTAAAAAAATTTTTGAAGTTGGAGTTTTAAAACTACATGTGTAATAATGCGTTTAAGTCCTTGCAAAAATATTAATCCACACCAAGTCCTTGTGATACAAGAGAAATATCCCAGTTAAAAGGCCAGGAAATTTGAGATAACATGTTAAGTGTTTAGAAATTTCGGGCCGGGCACCGTGTCTCCTGTGTAATCCTAGCACTTTGGGAGGCCAAGGCCAGCGGATAATTTGAGGTCAGGAGTTCAAGACCAGCCTGGCCAACGTGGTGAAACCCCATCTTTACCAAAAATTTAAAAATTAGGCGTGGTGGTGGACACCTGTAATCCCAGTTACTCAAGAGGCTGAGGCAGGAGAACTGCTTGAACCTGGGAGGCAGAGGTTGCAGTGAGTGGAGATCATGCCACCGCACTCCAGCCTGGGCAACAGAGCAAGACTGACTCAAAATTTTTTTTCAACCAAGGAATCAAGCAAGTTTTTTGTTTGTTTGTTTGTTTTAAGATGGGGTTTCACCATATTGGTCAGGCTGGTCTCAAACTCCTGACCTCAGGTATCCACCTGCCTCAGCCTCCCAAAGTGCTGGGATTACAGGCGTGAGCGCGCCTTACCGCGCCTTACCGCGCCCAGCAAGCAAGTTTACTTTAGTTATGTTTACAGGCTGCACCATTTCTTATAAAGGTAGGAGAGTTTCTAACATGTATGTTCAATTTGATTTTATATCCTTCCAAGTTCACTTTTTTAAATAATCTCTGCCTGTTGTCCTTAATTTAGATCTAGTTTTTGCCCATTTTAGTACAAAAACAAGCATTGCCCTCCAAATGGCAAAATTAGACTGTTTATACAAGTGCATCAGCTGCCTGTACCGCCTCCTGGTGGATGTTAAAGGATTCAGGTTCTGATGACCTCTCCATTGCTTACCGCCCTCTGAGCAGGAATAAGAAAACAAAATATGAGAACGGAGAAGCAAAAAAACCCCGACACCTCACCCTAAAATGACCCAGCACATATCCAATCACCTCTTCTTCAGTAGCCCTCTTAGAGCTGGTTGGTCGTGTGTGTGTGTTTCTGTGTGTGTGTAAAAGCCATCAGACACAGACCTGGAGGGAAGGCCCCTAGAGAGGGACCCATTTACCCCTCTCAATTTGCAGAGGAGAGGCTTCAAGAAGGTGCTGCGTGGAGCTAAAAAGAGGACTTGGGTCCCCAGCAGGCGAGCACTCCTTACACCGCTCAGCCTTTGAATATCTTTGATGTGGGTCATTGCAGTTCTGCTTCACCTGAAAGAATACAGTAGGAGGTCTTGTCTCAGGAGACTGTCCAGTTTTAGTGTTAAAGGCTTCAGGCTTCAGGCCTAGAGCATCCCGGAACAAGGAAACGGAAGAACAAGTATCTTAACTTTGAAGAATTCAATTTTCTAGTTTTCCATTGTCTGAGAAATAGATGACCTGTGGTATAAGAAAAACAAAAGAACAAAAGATTGCAAGAGTTTAAAATTAAGTCATTTTAAAAACCAATATAGGCTGGGCGTGGTGGCTCACGCCTGTAATCCCAGCACTTTGGGAAGCCCGGCCGGGTGGATCATTTGAGGCCAGGAGTTCGAGGCCAGCCTGGGCAACATGGTGAAATCCCGTCTCTACTAAGTAAACTACAAAAATTAGCCAGGCATGGTGGTGCTGGTCTGTAATCCCAGCTACTCAGGAGGCTGAGGCAGGAGAATCGCTTGAACCCGGTGGACGAGAGGTTGCAGTGTGCCGAGATCGAGCCATTGCACTCCAGCCTGGGTGACAGATCAAGATGCTGTCTTGAAAAAAAAAAAAAAAAAGAAACACTTCCCTATATTTTGACTTCAGTTCTACCTAGACATGCGAATTTCCTCATCATGTGTAAGATAGTACTAACTGTCATTCAAGTAAAAACTTAGGTCTTCTAAAATGTAATATGAAAAAAAAAGACAAACATAAAGGTGTAGTTGCCTTTTGATGCACTAATTCCACTTGGGAATTTATCAACAAAAGCAAAAAGTTTTATTATCTATGATAGCAAACCTAAATGTCTAATAACCAAAATCTGGTTTAAAAAATGGTACAAGAGGCCAGGCGCAGTGGCTCATACCTGTAATCTCAACACTTTGGGAGGCTAAGGCAGGAGGATGGCTTGAGCCCAGGAGTTGGAGACCAGCCTAGACAAGACAAAACATTGTTTCTACATCAAACAAAACAAAAGAAAATTATTATAGTTGGGCAGGAGGTATGTACCTGTAGTCCCAGCTATTCAGGAAGCTAAGGTGGAAGGATGGCTTGAGCACCAGGAGGTTGAGGCTTCAATGAGCCATGATTATGCCACTGCGCTTCAGCCTGGGAGACAGAGCAAGACCCTGCCTCAAAAAAAAAAAAAAAAAAAATTGTGGTACACCAGTGTTGTGGAGTTTCTGGCTTTGAAAAACTTTAATAATAAACATTGCAAAAACATAATGCTTTTCTATTCAAAGTGTGATTCCTGTTTGAGCAGGCCGTCACCTAGGAGCTGGTTAGAAATGCAGGGTCTGCAGCCCCGGATCCACCTAACCAACTAAATCAGAATCTGCTTTTTTTTTTTTGAGATGGAGTACTGAAAACCAGCTCTGCCACAGAGACCCCCACCCAGGCGGCGCTGAAGGAACTGAGAAGCAGACACCCAGACAGAAGAGCGAAGTGGGTCTATGGGGGGGCCAACAGCCTTTCAAGCTGAGAGCCTCAGGGGCTGACAGCATTCCGGGCTAAGGGCCTTGAGCAGCCTCTGACCCACATATTTATTCTCTCTGAACAGGTGATTATTATTAACAAACAGATGTTCAGCATTTTCTCAAAACACAAAAATATACCAAGTAGGCAGCTGGTGCCTGCTTACCACTGATCACAAACAAACTAAAAAGTGTTCTCCATGAGGCAGCCACAGGGGCAGGGGCAGATGTCGCAAACTTAAAGAATTGTTTTAACCAATGTATGATATTTATATGTTATCCTGCCACTTTAGAATGCCCCAAGTAGTTTTCTACTTTGTTGGGGGCGGGGCAGGGGGCAGCTAGGTTTCCTTGCCATCATTCTTCGTAGCAAACAATATATTTTATCATACATTCAGCATTTCTCAGCAATCATACACTTAGCATTTTTCAACAATGGAGTTTCACTCCTGTTGCCCAGGCTGGAGTGCAGCGATGTGCTTTCGGCTCACTGCAACCTCCGCCTCCCAAGTTCAAGCAATTCTCCTGCCTCAGCCTTCCCAGTAGCTGGGATTACAGGTATGCATCACCATGCCCAGTGAATTTTCGTATTTTTAGTAGAGACAGGGTTTCGCCATGTTGTTCAGGCTGGTCTCCAACTCCTGAACTCAGGAGATCTGCCTGCCTCAGTCTCCCAAAGTGCTGGGATTACAGGCATGAGCCACTAGACCCAGCAGAATCTGCATTTTTTTTTTTTTAAAAGACAGGGTTTCACCATGTTGGTCAGGCTGGTCTTGAACTCCCGACCTCAGGTGATCCGCCCACCTTGGCCTCCAAAGTGCTTGGATTACAGGCGTGAGCCACCACGCCCGGCCAGAGTCTGCATTTTAACAAGATCCCCAGATGACTGTCTACACACTGAAGTTTGAGAATCATGCTCTAATTAAAGTGTGGGAGGTGGAGGTCACAATTTTATTTATGATTATTTTAAAAGTATATGTCGTCAAGGATTGGAAGGTACTTTGCAAAAATAAAAACAGCTTAAATGGAGATAAATCCTCCTCCCCACACAACGTGCCTGGCCAGCTCTAGGTCCTCAAGGCAGCTGTTGAGGAGGCGACACTGTCGTGGGGTTTCTTTTTTTTTTTTTAATACATTCCTGAATGTTCTTGTTAAATCACATTTAACAAATGTTTGGACACTTAAAAGATAAATTAATACATTGTGCTTCTTTTTGAACCAGACATTAAAAGTGGTTAACGGCCGGGCGTGGTGGCTCACGCCTGTAATCCAAGCACTTTGGAGGCCAAGGTGGGTGGATCACCGGACGTCGGGAGTTCAAGACCAGCCTGACCAACATGGTGAAACCCCATCTTAAAAATAAATAAATAAATAAATAAATAACAAAAAAAGAAAAAAGAAAAAAAAATGATTAAAAAAAAGTCGTTAACTTACTGTTTTTCTTTTTGCCTCAGTTATCTGGGAGCATAGAGCTAAATTTAATACTCAAGACAGTAATACCATTAGCCTACCTTTTTTGAATATTTGTTTTTCTCTCTATGACTTTTATTTTCTATTTTATGTTTTCTAGTATGTTTCTTGCAAATCACTTAAAAATTATTTCTGAAAATAAGGGTCCAAATTACAATAATGACTTCTAAAAAGAGTCTGCTCTTGTGTGCCAGGTTCTGCAAAAGATGAATTTATGAAACTAACCTCCTGCCAGTTTTAAATTTCTTCTTTCCCTGATCTTTTCTGCCTCTCAAAACACAAGTAAGGCTGGGCACAGTGGCTCACGCCTGTAATCCCAGCACTTTGGGAGGCCAAGGCAGGCAGATCACCTGAGGTCAGGAGTTCGACCAGCCTGGCTAACATGGTGAAACCCCGTTTCTACTAAAAATACAAAAAATTAGCTGGGTGTGGTGGCAAGCACCTGTAATCCCAGCTACTTGGGAGGCTGAGGCAGGAGAATTGCTTGGGAGAACCCATGGCGGAGGTTGCAGTGAACCAAGTTGCGCCATTGCACTCCAGCTTGGGCAACAAGAGCGAAACTCCATCTCAAAAAAAAAAAAAAAAAGGCACAAGTAAAACTAAAGGCTTCCTGATTTCACCCCAGTGAAAGTCTCAGAGGTCAGGTAGCTCCTGCCCCAGTGGGGTGTTGTTCCTCTCTCCCCAAGCAGACAGCCCTACAGCACAACCCCTGGTGTCCCGCTGCCTGGAGATTCAGTAGGGAAGCAGAGAGCCCCAGCCCTTCCAAGGGGACGCAGACCACTCACCCGTAGAATTACTCACCGACCCTACCGACCCTTTAGCTCCTTCTGCTTCACACCTCCTCTGTAATGAAGGAGAGAAAAGTATATGTTACTACCAAGCCTCGTTTTTAGGATAATTTCCTGCACACTACTCTTTCTCCAGACTACATCAGATTCCTCTTACTCTCTCAAGAAAGCTTGTAACTTTTTGTTCACATAACTTATCCGCTTGTAACTCTGTACTGCATGATTGTCTCCCTTACCAGACCATAAACTCCAATTTAGACTTCACTTACCACTGTACTTCCAGCGCCTAGAGGTGTTACTCGGCAAGTGGAGCACAGTAGCTGTTAGCGGTTAGGCAGATGCGTGATATGAAAAATGAATACGATTCAATGCAGTGGTTCATGCCTGTAATTTCGGCACTTGGCGCAGTGGCTTATGCCTGTAATCCCAGCATTTTGGGAGGCCAAGGTAGGTGGATCATGTGGTCAGAAGTTCAAGACCAGCCTGGCCAAAATGGTGAAACCCCATCTCTACTAAAAATACAGAAATTAGCCAGACGTGGTGGCAGGCACCTGTAATCCCAGCTACTCGGGAGGCTGAGGCAGGAGAATTACTTGAACCTGGGCGGCAGAGGTTGCAGTGAGCCGAGATCCCGCCACTGCACTCCAGCCTGAACTATAGAGTGAGACACTGTCTCAAAAAAAAAAGTCTGTAATTCTGGCACTTTGGGAGGCTGAGGAGGGTGGATCCCTTGAGGCCAGGAGTTGAGATCAGCCTAAGCAACATGGTGAAACCCTGTCTCTACCAAAAATACAAAAAATTAGCCAGGTGTGGTGGCACGTGCCTATAATCCCAGCTGCTCAGGAGGCTGAGCAGGAGAATCACTTGAACCTGGAAGACAGAAGTTGCAGTGAGCTAAGATTGCACCACTGGACTCCAGCCTGGGTGATGACAAAGCAAGACTGTCTCAAAGAAGAAAAAAAAGGTGAATATACTGGAAAGAAAGGAGAAAGAACTATCAGACCTGCTACTTTGGCAGCAAAAAAAAAAGAGTGGCGGGGGTAATTAATTTATTAATCACTTGCAGTGTGCAGGCATTGTTAGTGTATTATATATGCTATAGGATCCTCAACACAATCCTTTTTTTTTTTTAAGAGACGGTGTCTCCTATGTTGTCCAGGCGGGAGTGCAGTGGTTATTCACAGGCCCATCCCACTACTACATCCCACGGGAGTTTTTACCTGCTCCGTTTCCAACGTGGGCCGGTTCACCCCCTCCTTAGGCAACCTGGTGGTCCCCCGCTCCCGGGAGGTCACCATACTGATGCTGAACTTAGTGCAGACACCAGATCGGCATAGCGCACTACAGCCCAGAACGCCTGGGCTCAAGCGATCCTCCCACCTCAGCCTCCCGAGTAGCTGGGACTACAGGCATGCACCATCACGCCCGGCCTTTTTTTTTTTTTTTTTTTTTTTTCTTTTTTTAATTAATCCACTAACAAGCTGGGCGCAGTGGCTCACGGCTGTAATCCCAACACTTTGAGAGGCTGAGGTGGGCACCAAGATTTTCAGAACAGCCTGGGCAACATAGTAAAACCCCATCTCTACAAAAAACAATTTTTTTTTTAAAGCCAAGCATGGTGGTGTGGGCCTGTAGTCCTAGCTACTCGGGAGGCTGAGGTGGGAGGATCACTCGAGCCCAGCAGGAGGTGAAGGTTGCAGTGAGCTGAGATCATGCCACTGCACTCCAGCCCTGGCGAGAGCCAGGCTGTCTCAAAAATACATATATATTTCACTAACATAAAATTTACCCATTTTGACCAGGCGCCCTGGCTCCCACCTGTAATCCCAGCACTTTGGAAGGCCAAGGCAGGTGGATCATGAGATCAGGAAATCAAGACCATCCTGGCCAACATGGTGAAATCCCATCTCTATTAAAAATACAAAAATTAGTGAGGTGGGGAGGTGGGTGTCTGTAATCCCAGCTACTTGGGAGGCTGAGGCAGGAGAGTTGCTTGAACCTGGGAGGCAGAGGTTGCAGCAAGCCGAGATCATGCCACTGCACTCTAGCCTGGGCAACAGAGCAAGACTCTGTCTCAAAAAAACAAAAATTACCCATTTAAGGTATACAACTCAGTGGTTTTCAGTACATTCACTAGATTGTGTAACTATAATTCTTTTTTTTTTTTTTAAGATGGGGTTTTACCATGTTGGTCAGGCTGTTCTTGAACTTCTGACCTCAGGTGATCTGCCCACCTCAGCCTCCCAAAGTGCTGGGATTACAGGTGTGAGCTACTGCGCCCAGCCTAATTTTTGTATTTTAAGTAGAGACTGAGTTTCACCATCTTGGCCAGGCTGATCTTGAACTCCAGATCTCATGATCCACCTGCCTGGACCTCCCAAAGTGCTGGGATTACAGGCATAGGCCACCACACCCAACCTGTTTTCAGTTTTCTTGTGTATATACCCAAGAGTGGAAATACTGGGTCATATGGTAACTCTATGATTAACCAATTGAGGAACTGCCAGGCTGCTTTCTGCAGCAGTTGCAACATTTCCCATTTACAATAGCAGTGAAGGAGGGTTCCAATTTCTCCATTTGCTCACCAACACTTGTTATTATTCACCTTTTTTATTATAATCATCTTAGTGGGTGTGAAATTGTATCTCAATGTGGATTTCATTGGCATTTTTCTAATGACTAATGATGTTGAGCATCTTTTGGTGTGCTATTTGGCCATTTGTATAGCATCTTTGGAGAGATGTCTATTCAAACCCCTTGCCCATTTTAAGCATTGGGTAGTCTGTCTTTTTATTGTTGAGTTGTAGGAGTTCTTAATATATTCTGGATTCTAGATCTTATCCAATTATAATTTGCAAATATTTTCTCCCATTTTGTGGGTTGTCCTTCTACTTTCTTGATAGTGTCTTTTGAAACACACAAAAAATAAATTTTGATGAAAGCCAATTCATCTATTTTTTTCTTTTTTTTT